TGGGCCTCTGTGGAAGCACCTGCGCCGCCTGGGCCCGGGTTGTCTCAAAGACACTCTTAGGCACGCCGAGGCTCGCCTGAAGCCTACCTCACCCAGTCTTAGGCTGGTGACTGAAGCCATGGAAGGCACTAAAGCTTTGACTAAGCCTTAACTGGCTTAAAGATTCAGAAGCTCGATAGGCAGATGGTGGTGCAGGCTTCGCGTCCAGGAGAGCTCAGTCGTCTCTGGCAGGGAGGTGGTGTGTTTACCCGGGTTTAGGGAGACGTTGTGAGCTGCAGGCCAGTTGATGAAGATGAGTGTTTAGGGCTGTGGCTCGACTATCCTCGACTCGCCTGGACGGGGAAAAACGAAAGAAGGGGGCTCCATTTGGGAAGAGGAGCTGTGACTCTGAAAACAGGTGCCTTTTTCACGGGGAAAAAAGGTGTGGGATGGTAAAAGAGTGGGGAAAGAGTGAGACGTAGAAAGCGATGGAGGCCGGGCCTCCGGCTCTTTTTTCCTCTTCGGCTCGGGAGACCAGGGAGGCCTCCAGGTCGACCTTTCCTCAGACCAAACGGCAGCTGAATTTCGGCCGCCCAGCCTTCATTCGGGCCACTTTGGCCTGTCAGCATGTATGGATATGCACAGCATGTACTTCATCCAGACGACGATAAGCGCTCCGAGGTATCTGAAGTGTTCTGGTGTTGGCGGCGTGTCCAGGGACTTGCTCCTGCTTCCTGGGACGTTCCGCCTTGCATTGTTTTTGCGTCCTCAAAGTTCCTTCTTTTGCCCAGGGCCTGGCCCATTCAGACCCCGAGCAGGTCAGTTGCTTGAGGGAGCTCTATAAATCCCTGGTTTGAGCCGGGTCTTGGAGTACACCTCGGAACACGATTCCCCCTGACGGCTGAGTTCGTCTGCCACTACCAGAGGGTGCCTTCCCTCACAAGAAGGCGGAATGAGCCTTGCACCGAGACTTGAAGCTCCAGACTCCTCTAGGATGTAAGAGCTTAGGGGCATCGTCGGCGCAAGAGCGCGGTTGGCACCGGCCGTGAGTGTTAGCATTTCGGAGACCTTGACTTGCAACTGGTACAGGTTTCCCGAGTTGGGAGGCGATGGCTTCAGAGTCTTGTGGATTGCTTGTCGGTGAAGGCAAGGCACTCTCTCCAACCATGAGCGGAGGTAATCCGGTGCGAGCAGTGACTTCCGTCGGTGCAGGGTTTCAGGGCATTCTAGGGTTAGTGTCTTGAAAGGCTTGCGAGCATTACTCCTTTGCAGACTTCTCCAGTTGACATCAGTGGACGCAACTTGCGCTGCAGTTGGCATGAATGAAGGTGCTGCTAACCCCAATTCTGACTGGTTTGTCCTTGGGTTTCTTGCAGTCGCCAAGACCACATGTGTGGTTGCGTGGCTTCCACGGTCATGCCATTTGCAAGGACGTGGAGATTCTGCGAAACTTCTCCGTTGGCACGAGCTTTCTTGCCATTGATGGGGCCAACACCTCAAGTCGACACTATCATTCCAATCAAGTTCCTTACAGTCGTCACCTGGCTCTGCCGAGCTCTTTCCCGCGAACCCTTTCACTCAACCAGCCGGACAGTGTATTGAAGGCAATGACACAGGCGTCCAGGAGGTTTGGGCGGGTCTCAGTTCGGATCTCTTGCTACCTGCGGCATCAGTTGTGTGCAGCAATCCCGTGATTCGTTTCATGGTTTCGCCTGCAAGCAGCTCTTGTGACAACCTGCTTAGAAGCTTTTTCGCAGCGGCATGGTGATGTGGAAATTCAGTCGATAGCGGCTTCAGATAACTTGGCCTCGCTGCCGGTGTGTCTCCGTTGCACTTCACGAGCTCCTCGGTTTCCATGCGTGCTTGTGGCTTTCCCAAAGGTCGGGAACTCGCAGCTCGCACAGAAGCGAAAGACCGTCTGTAGATGTCGGAAGTTCGAGCAGTAGGCTCGTGCGGAGCGCATCGCATTGAGGTTTGCTTCTTCTTCGTCTTCACTTGGTGTCTCTGCGCAGCAGGTGGCACAGGGGTGTTGCAGGCCATGTCCGCTCGAGGTGTCAAGATGGAAAACGCCTTCGGAACGGTCCTCAGGGCAACTCCGGGGCGCGCGAGACGCACGCGTTCCGACAAGGAGGGCTGAGACTTGGAAGGTCAGGGCATGTTTCTGCAAGGCTCCGCCGACTGCTGCAGCTGCTGGCCTGGTTTCAATGTGCTGTTACAAACAAGCTGCTTTCATCGAACTGAATTGCAGGATGATCGCTTCCGGCGTTTGTGGCCGAAACAGGCAAGCGAGGAAGTGCATCCGTCACGACAGCAGCACTCAACTTGGTGCCATCCTCCTTTAACGGCGTCGCTCCAGAAGCTTGCTCCTCTCAACAGTATCTTCAATTTGCCGCCCACTTGTCAAACTGCTGAGCTTGTCGGTTGCCGGTCAAGGTGGGCAGACTGACGTGCAGAATCTGCCATGCAGGAGGGCTGTGCTGCCAGTACACCCGGGTCGCCGCTCAAACCCCCGTGGCGGAGGAAGTCGATGAGGCAATGTCGAGACGTATAAGTGTAGTGACTCTGCTCTTCAAAGACGCCTCATCCCACAACTCTCTTTGCAACCGCAGGCGCGCTGTCCCGGCAGTGAGGAGCCTACGAGAGAGGCAGAAGGCGGATGGCTAAGGACCGCCGCATTCCTCAGGGGGCTCCGCCTTCAGGTCCACGGAGGTGGCCTCCTCAGCCGTTAATGGCAAAGCTTTAACCATGCTAGCAGTCGCTGGCAGCGCTCGGAGAGGGCTGTTACTAGTTACATCTAGTTGGCGACATGTCTTTCAGCGCAGGCAAACCCTTTGGAAGCCCACGGAATGCGATTGAAATCTGGCGATCGTGCGGATAGATCTAAGATGTTGACATGGAAGCTCGCCACGACCTTGACCTTCTGCGCTCAGCCGCTGCTGCCAGTGTCCTTCCTCAAGCAGTCAGGCAAGCTGGGTTGCTGGGTTGGTCAACTTCCAAGTCGTTTTTGGGTAGCTTCGTTGTAAGCGGCCGCAGTAGAGGTTTTCGGAGTTTCTGAGGAAGGATGCAGGTGTGTCAGGCGCCTGACTGCAATCTGGGTCTAGAGCTGTGGTGCCACGTCCGTACTCTCACCGGGATGCAGTTGCCTAGTTGCCTGGGACCCTAGTGAGGCCCTAGTGCAGCCTTAGCTTCTTGCCTCTCGGCCGTGACTTGTCGTGGCTGCGCTGGCCTGGCACGGACTGGGACCTCGAAGTCCGTTCACTGAAAGGAGCGGCTTTCGGCTTGCTCGTCCTGGTGCTTAGAACACTGGGCTGCGGCTGCCCTGCTGTCCTCCAAAAGGGCCAAAAGGCAGTGCAGCAGTATTGCAACTGTAGCAGAACCGTCATAACCCTTTAAACTCAAGACCCGAACGCCGGAACCTCTAGGTCTAGGTCCTGAAGGGTCGAGCAAGACTCGAGGGATTCAGACCTCCCTCAGAGGACTCCCGCCGCCTTGGTCATGGGTTTAGGGCTTCTCTTCTCTCTGTGGTGCAGTCCCCTGAGCCACAGAAGTGCAAACGGCCCAGGTACAAAGCTTCCTTGTCTCGTCGCCTTTGTGGGCCTCCGAATGGCCGGAGGAGGGAGACCCAACCGCGCTTCCTGGTGAGAGCAAGGCCGCAAGCCGGGAGCTGGGCCTGAGCCTGTGATCCTCTTCGCGTCTTAGCCGGGCGGCCACGGCCCAATGCGCCGGGGGCCACAGCCCTGAACTGAGAAGGACGACCTGCTGCCTGTTACCGGTCCGTTGGATGCTGGACGGCGAAAGACTCTAAACAGATAAGCGGACACGGAGGGACCTGGCCGAAACGCGCTGAATCGCATCAGGCATGTCGATTCCGGCTCCGATTGCGACTGAGTGAGAATCAAGTCGAGCCAGGATTGCAGTGATGTTCTCTCACTCATTTCCTCTATGTTTTTTGCTTTCTAGATGATTGTGCCTTCTTCCGACCCGATGATTGATGGTTTTCTGAAATCGTACTAACAGCCGCTGCCAGCTGCGTGCTTCCATGAGAGTGGCGATCTGTCCAGCTGGGATATCAGCCCCCCAGAACCTTCAACTGCTGGCCCGAGACCCGTCTAACACACGCGCCGTGAGACTGAAACCCAACAGCTGGAAAGGGGAATTCCATCAACCCGGCTGTGTGGCAGCCGTTCACATGAAATCTAGAGAAGTGGTACTTTGTCTTGCCCTCCATATGTCACTGTCTTCATATCGAGTTAGGCTGTTCTGTAAACTTTGCTGTTCGTCAGTGATGTCGGCTTGTTCTTGAGAAGATGAAGTCAGTACGCATCGCAGAAGACCCAGATGCAGACTGCGAGCTTTTTCGTGTTTTGGATTTCAGACCGGTATGCGGTATATGCCTCTAAGCAGCCCGAGTAAACGCGCTTGTGACTTGTGACACATACCGCACGTAGAATTAAGGCCTGGGAGAGCTCCGACGAAGCCTGTGGATTAGCCGCTTGCACTCTCTGAGAGCCCGCGGAGCCCGGGAGCTCGAGTCATTGCTGCGATGTGGTACGCCAGTGGCCCTTCCACAGCTTTTGGCGACGGGTCGGGTGTCGAGCTCGGCGGGCTGTCACGCTCTCTGCAAGACGGGTCTGGGAGGGCCTGCTTTCGTCCAGGATCTGCAGGGGCCGGTGATTTCGGTGCAGTTCCCTGCCTGGCCAACAGGGCCGACAGTTCTCATCATGCTGGTCTTCCCTCGGCGTGCAGTGGCAAGGCGACGCTGTCTCCAGTGGGGAGGTGATGGTCCTGGCGATCTGAGACCTGTGTGCCTTGCCGGCACTTGATCCTGAAAGGTTTCTCCCCGCTGATTGCCTTTCATGGATGCTTGAGCAGCTACACGAGTGCAGTCTTCCCAAGACCCCCTGCGCTCCTACGTCAGCATGAGCGTGACATTGCTGGACGCTGACCTTGCAGCCTGGAGGCTTGGGGGACCAGACCGCGGAGTCACCACCAGCATCCATCGAAAGAAGCGGCCGATTGATGCCCGGAGGCATCAACAATAACCGGCTGCAGCTCATGATCGTTGCTGTTGTTCACACATTCACGATCCGATCACAATCGCACCGGAGGTTCGGGCAAAAAGCGAGAACCCAGCTCCGGCTGATGCCGATGATGCTGGCGATTCTGGGTTGTCAAGTCCGTCCAATCCCTGGGTCGATTAAGTTCGGGATGCAGGGGCATATGAGGTTGCGTGGAGGGTTCAATGGCAAAGGCAATTCCAGGTGATGCCGATGATGCTTCCCGGAGGCGTCAGGGACAGGTTCCGGCTCATGCTCCTTGTGCTTGTTGCCGACGCAACAGATTTGGTGGCCAGTGTCGTAGCTTCTAGGGGACTCAGAGTCAGAGGCGCACCAGGCCCTTGAGGGGCCGTTGGCAGAGGCTACGCTCCACCACACCAGCAAGGAACTGAGAGTGCCATCTGGGGGCCTCGCAACAAAACCAAAAAGCGAAGGTCGTGAAGGCCTGGGCCCTGGCTTGCGCCGTCTGGCGAGCCTGTTCCGCTTCCGTTCTTCTGCCATGGAACAGGGGTTGACCTGCTCAGAGGTTAGCTAGCGCTCTGGGTGCCCCGAGATCGAACGCATGCCAATGCAGCGCTTTGGCGGCCGCACTCGGAGATCGTTCCGAGGTGAAAGAATGGCCCCCCCAAGCTTCGGTCCCGGCATCGCTGAGGTCTTGTGGAAAAATGTTCCACCCCTTCTCTTCTGATCGTCTGAGGCTGCGGCTTCTCTGGGCCTCGGGAGCCGAACAGCTTCAACGACTGCGCAGCCGCTGCGCAGGCTCGGTGTGGAGTTTTCTCGCGTGGCTGGCAACAGAACCTCTACCTGAAGCCACCTCAAATTCTGCATCAACTCCTCACGGCGGTTGACGCTGGTGCAGCCTCTGCGAAGGCAGAGAAGGGCTTAGAGGTGCTAGAAAGACAGAAGCTGGGCAGCTCCGGCTCCCTCCATCGCCTCCGCGGCGACACCTCCCTCTTCGCCTCGCTCACGTCGCCGAGTGCAAGAGCCGTCCATGGACGAAGTCGCCATCTGCGCGCAAAGGTCCACATGGCAAATTCAGAGTGGGATCTTCCAGTTGATACTCTCAGACAGAGCTGTTCGCTTGTAAGTACACCAAAATTGTACCTACCTTGAAGCTCAGCTGCGCATTGCAGTGTGTCGTCTGCAATTCATCTAGAGTTTATAGTGTGCAGGCAAGGCGGCTGCACCAAACTAAAGCACCAGAGGTGGGAGGCTTTGGGGATGCCAGATGCCAGCGTGTCAGGCACAGGTTTGTCTGCCGTCGCCGTCTGGACAACACTCTTTCGCTTGTCGGACCGGGGAAGAGCCGCACGGTTGCAGGCGGCTGCCGTGCTGTCGGCTGCACCGTCCGTGGCCTCCATGTTTGCGCTTCGCCGTAAGGCAGGAGAGGGGCCCCAGCATGAGATGGCAGGAGCTGCTGTTTGTCTAAGCCCGGCCGCCTGGGGAGCCCCGACCTGAGCCAGCGGAACTCCGCCTCGTGCAGGCGATGCTGGCGATGCTGGCCAAGGCGAAGGGCCTCTTGCAAGTGCGCTGGGTCCCCGAGGACAGAGGCCTCCGGAGCTTCCGCTTTTTGAGGTCCGGCGCGTTTCGGTGCATCCTCAGGCTGTTAGCGAGGTGATCCGGGCGGCGGAAGGCATGGTGTCTCAAAGCTTTGCATGCAAGGGGAGGATGCAGCGGCGGCTTTCCAGTAGCAGGGCAGATCGAATGTTCACCAAAGCTGCTTCTTTTCATCTGAAGGGGCAGATGCCAACTCCGATTGACACTGCTACTCTGGTCTTTCTAATCTTCCTGGCCATGTGCCAGCCTCCCTCGCCCACGTTGAATGCGATCGAAGTGAAGCTCTCTCAGTGAGACTGGGCAGCAGCAAGCATCTCTAGGCCCACGGCAGGACCGCAACTGTGCGAAAGGACGGACCATCAAGACCTGGACAGGACTTCGTATTTGCTTTCGCCAGCGATGCATCCATCGTAGCTATCGGAACCGGTGGCCTTGAGTCAGTCTCTGATCGCGGCGCTCTTGAGCGAGCCGATGCTGTTTCCCAGCACTTCGAAGCTGTGGAGTTGGAAGTCGGCAAGGACGTCACTGGGTCGTCGGGTCTCCGTGAAGTGCCTTGCATCGCTCAAGGGATGTGGATGTCAGGGAGGCGGTGATCGACTGAGGTGGAGGCCACAGGGACATGTGCAAGCTGGCCTCCCTCACTGCGGACTCTCTAGCCGCAGCCTTTTGGCATTGTCGGTATTGCTACACGAACTGTGTGCAAGCAGCCTTGAGGCCTGGACTCCCCCTGAAGTCACATCGAAGCGGTCCCCAGTGAAGCGTGGACGAAGTCAAGGCAGAAGTTCGCCGAACAACGGTCGTCGCTGCTGTCGCTGCCCTGTGCAACTTTCGATTCGCCGCCTGCGCTTCTTGGTTCTGGGAGCCTAGGAGCTCTTGCGCGCCATTCCTTTGTGCTCCAACACTGCTCAGAGTCCTCCTCCTGTGGAGCTAGTGCCGGTGCACAATGCAGCCAGAGCTTCCGAAAGTGCCACGGGTCACCATCGCCCGCGCCTGTCAGCGGTCTCCCCCAGAGGCCGATGTTTTGAGGACTTGACATCCTCCTGCGATGCGGAGCTGCGAGGGCGTCGGCCGCTGAGGATGCCCAGGGTGCGGAGGGGCCCGATGCACGGATTGAGCGGCATCGCCGTCTAGCATGCAGACGCTGCCAAGTGTCGGCTGCCCAGTACCTTCGCAATTCACCTTCAGTTGACTGCCGCTAGCAGGAAATGCAAGGAGCGACACATCCCTTGTCTGTGCTGCTTCCAGAATGACCCCGTGAGGAGCACTTGTGGGACCGCTGCTTGTTGAGTTGTGGGCGTTCGCCAGGGCTAGCGGCCAGCGGCAGACATGCTCAGCTGGCATGCAATGTCACATAGGGCTCCGAAACTTATAGCCCAAGCGATGCTTGACAGGCCAGTCCAGAGGACGGATGGGGCGAGGAGTCAGCTACTCTAGACTTTGGGCATCCTTCATAGGGGCATCCGTGATGTCCGGGTGTCATGTCTTGGCATCCCGCCGGCGAAGCTTTCTACCTCCACATGTAACGCGCTGAGTTGCCGGGGCAAAAGGCTTGGGCCTTTTGGGGGGGCGGGGCTGATTTTTTTGAGGCTTCCCTGTGTTTTTGAGTCCCACCCGGCGAGCAACCCAGGCCGAGGCTGAGGCAGAAATGATCTGACTCCCACCGGGCCAGGCTCCGGGCCAGGAGCGCCCTTCGTCTATGGGGAAAGCGTTGAAAGCATCCGCTTGTCACCGCAGAGTGGGAGTTCTCCTCTCTCTAATGTGGACACGGCCTGCATCTCAGAAGAGTCCAAGGTAGGCCTCCGCGACCTGCTCGTGCAGGCCGCCCGTCTGGGCCCGTGCTGCGCCTGTTATGCCTCTTGCTCTTTGCACGATTCCCGGTGTTGGCGGCAGCCGTTTGGGTGGATCAGCACGGCTCTGGCTGAGGAGCTCACCTGAAGGCAAAGGGCTTACCCGGACAGACCTTGAGTCTGCGCTGACCGAGACCGAGGAGGCCTCAGTCGTAGCCTGCGCCTTTTGTCCTTCCAGGGGTTTCCAGGGCCTGACATCCTGGTGCAGAGTTCCTGCACAGATCCTCTGATAAGCAGAGCCTTATAAACCCTAACCCTAGCCCTAGCCCTGGCCCTAGCCGCAGCCCCTTAGGCCGCCTTCCTCTCCTTCAGAGCTCTGCGATCAGACCCATGGCGCTCGTTCAGGCACGCGCCTGAAGTTTGAAGCGCACGGCCGCGGATGACGAGAAGACCTTTCGGATTCGGGCCGCCGACTTGCCATCTTCAGCCCGATGTAGAGTCATCATAGTCAGCGCCCTCTGTCGGGGCAGTCTCTCCAGGATCTTTACGCCTGTTTGACCAGCTCAGCCTGCATGGGCAGAGTGCTTGCATTCCGCAAGTTTGACAGAGGCATCTTCCAAGCACATCGTTCGTGACCTTGAAGAATGCCGACGGGAGCGGTGCAAAGGGCTTTGAGGTTCGATTGATTCGGCTTCCTTCCCATCGTCTTGCATCGTCGCTGCATGGTGCCCTGGTATGCTCACAGCTGGCTTGGCACAGATCGGAGAAAGAATGTGCATCGACTAGTGGTTTGTCCACCATTCACCCCACAACGCCAGAAAGACTCAACCCAAACAGTAGACTCCTCTGGATCTACTCAACCCTTCATGCCTACCTGCACTGCTGCTGCCGGTACTGTCCTGTGCTACCATGATTACTACTACTAGCTGCTTCTGCTGCTGCTGCTGCTGATGCTGCTGCTACTACTACTACTACTACTACTACAACGACGACTACTACTACTACTACTACTACTACGACGACGACGACGACGACGACGACGACACGACGACACGGCTGCGACTACGACTACGACGACGACTACTACCTCTGGGCTGTTGCTGCTGCTCCTGCTACTGCTACTTCTATTACTGCTGTACCGCTGCTGCCACAATCACTAGTTATGTGTGTGACGAGACGACGATATAGCGATGAATCGATGAAGATAAACAGCAGAAGAAAAAAGACTATGATGTGATGAGCATGCCTGATCATAGTACAACCACGACGAGGATGGTGTTGAAGGTTTCAGCGATCGTGGGAATGATGGATAGCATATGGTCACGGAATGAGTCTTGGGAATAAGTTTAATTGGTTTTCGTTGCTAGACTATGGGGATTTTGAAGGACACTGACAGCGCTCTGCCCAATGGTATGATACATATTACTGAGGTTCATGGTGCTGGCAATAATACTTGCTGATAGCGATGATGCTGGTGATGACGGCACAGGTGTAGCTATCACTGCGACTTCTATTCCGTTTTACTTTTCTGTATCCGAATGAATGCAAGTACCATAGCGATCATGGCCCTCTGATTTGCCTGTATTGTTCAGAGTTCAGACCTCTTCAAACTTTTGTTTGATTCGCACTCGGTTTTGTCGTGCTTAGGTTTCTGTTTGGACGCTGACCGTATCAGGTCGAAAGTTTGGTGAGATGTGTGGCTTGTAACCTATTGGACAAAGGGCTAATGCCTGAATCAGAATGCTATGAACAGTAATTCACCAGTTGATTGAGCGCCATGCAATCGCGTAGTGTCACTGCAGCGTTTGCAACCCTTGCCGGGACTGTCTTGACGCACCCTGCCATACCTTGTCTGCAAAGGTTACAGGGTTCATCCAAGCATCAATGTCGGCACCCAGCATTAGGATCACGGACGCGTTGTGTCTGTGATGTTTTCGGGCTATGCTCATGCAAATTCCACGGCGCAGGCGCAACTGGGGGAGTTGGGAGAGGGTAGGAGGACGGGGCGTAGGCATCCTATAGCCCACTTCCTTCCTCCTGCATGCAGTTGTTTTTGCCGCCCCGTGGCGAGCAGAATCACCCTGGTTCCGGGTTATGGTGTTTTGAGGTTCAGGGTTTAAGAGGCTTAGGGCCGTGAAAACGGGGTTACCGTTTTGCCAGGACGTTTGTTTCAGGTACACAAGGGTTCGTGCAACTCCTTTCTGCAGCCTTCAGAACCAGAGCCCTAGTCACAAGGGCTTGTTTTCTTAAAATTTCAAGGGCTTGAGAGAATTGTTCAAGTCAAAGCCTTTTGGAAAAAGCCCAATTCTTCGAGCCAACATCGCCCGCCCTGCATATCGCGAGTCGCTGGGATGGACCAGCAGAGTTCGTATCGTCATGCGAAGACGCCTCAACAAGTCTCTTTTGCTCCTTTTCTGTCAAGGTTCACGACCCGGGTGGCTGTGTTCTTTTGCGCTCACAGGTCGGGACCCCGAGAGGTACATGCCTTTGTGTATCTAGCTGTATTTGCAAATGCACGTGCATACAGTACATACATACATACAT